TTCGGATGCCTCCTGGGTGCCTTCCTAGGGAGGTGTTCCGGGCATGTCCCACCGGGAGGAGGCCCCGGGGAAGACCCAGGACACGCTGGAGGGACTATGTCTCTCAGCTGGCCTGGGAACACCTTGGCATTCCCCCGGAGGAGCTGGAGGAAGTGTCTGGAGAGAGGGAAGTCTGGGCATCTTTGCTTAGACTGCTGCCCCCGCGACCCGGTCCCGGATAAGCGGAGGAAAATGGATGGATGGATGGATAATTCTTTCAGCTGTAATATTGCTAGCGCAGCATTTCTCAGGTGACTTTCCTCATACTCTGTAATAAGCAAGGCTGACTTTTTTAAATAAATTACTAGTCACACATTGTCTAGATAAACCAAAATAAAAAAAAGGGAAGAATGTTCGACCGACAATCATAAAGCCAACAAAGTGACGTATGAAAATGTCTGTACAAAATAATAAATACAAAATTGTAATAATAGTCTAGAGATTAATCAGTCATGAAAATAATTAATTGCAGCTCTAAGATGGTTACACACATGCTGAACATTTTGAGGCATACAGTAGCATGTGCTGTACAGGAGAGTGAAACTAAGCACTTTTTCTACAGTATTTGCGCTTTGTGTGTTACACCCTGTTGTTCAGTAATCTGATGACGCACACATCAAAAGATGCTGAGAGCTTTGCCACTATAGATTTTTAAAATCAAAGCTAACAGTAATAAAGCGTATTAGCACACCGATCTTTGTAGCTGGTAGGGGAAGATGTGTCACTTGAGTTTCATTGACCAAAAGTTGGACCATCACCATCACAGGTGTCATATGAGTGCAGCAACTGCTCATACCCAGTAGTGCATTAGATAGATGCAAGGGCCTAGTGTCTCTGAGTGTGATTAATGTCTTCACTTTCCTCTAGCTGCAGGAATGTGTATAGTAGCCCTCCTCTGTTGGCAGTTACAGAAGGGTTTAGAGAAAATGTAGACAGCAGCAGCACACACACTCATGCTGGTCTTCACTGTGAGTGTGAATGAGAAAGACTGCATGACGCAATCTTTTACTGTTTATGTGTTTGTTTGTGGGAGTGGCTCTGCTTGTGTGTGATGTATTGTTATTATTAGAGGAGCTTCCTACAGCATGAGTTGCTGCTGCATGTGAAAGTGGGCATGTGGTCCAGGGAAACATGTGCACACAGGTGTGTGTTGATCTGATATATCCTCAACCTCCACACACATTTATTTGACCTCAGACCATGACCTCAGACCAACACCTATGAGTTTTTGCCTTAAATGGATATAGTTGTGAAACCCAAAGTTTCCAAGTTCCATGTTGTTGCTTTATATACGTTGTGTATATAGTGCTACAGAGCCAATTTCATTAAATGGTAAAGATGCTGTATAATATAAATATTCAGAAAACATAGTGGTAGCCAAGTATATGAAGTACAATCCATTAGCAGGGCAGTTGGTGTGGAGGAGCTGGTGAAAGCAACCCTCTGCTGGTGTCTGAACTGGAGTAACAGCCTGCTAGATGCCAGAGTGAATGAGGGATGGCTACATTATGAATACACACACAGTCAGGCAGGTTGAATAAAATCTCAGTAGAGCCTGTGGATCAACCGTTGGCATGTCAGTGTAGCAGAGATCAGTGTGACTGCAGTTATTACCTTTTATAGGCTGTAATGTCCTCCCCTCCTTTCTGCTCAGGAGCACTGGTTATTAATGCTTTTAGAACAGGCCCAGGTTATTGACTTAATAAAGACATGATAAAAAGCCTACAGTAGAACAGAAACTATTTCCTTATTATTGACACTTATAATAACACTTACTGTTTGAGCAGCTTTCTTCAGTATCTCTTACTGTATGACTCTCATTGCCTGATGCATTTTTATATTTAGCGAAGGAATAAACAGACACACTGAACTTATGCAGAGCAGAAAAGTGTTTCTTCAGTGTTTTCAATGTTGGAACATTACAATTATCTTTTTTTTTCCTGATCAGTATGAGGAAACTATTGTTTAACAGATTACAAAATAACCCCTCTGTTAATTGTGCTAGATTTATGTAGATGTGGGAGTGTGTTTTTAGTTTTGGATATGAAATGGTTTCTCACACTTTGACAGTATTTAGTTTGTATCTGTCAGGTACATCACAGGCAGAGAAGGCCCTGCATCACTGGCGCTTACAGCTGTTAGTGAATGAAACCTGGCAGCATTAAAGTTTTATTATTAAAACTGTTATGCTGTGAATCCACCAACCTCATCATGAGTCCTAAAAAAAAAAAAGAATATTTTACTGGCAGTTGTGTTAATTGTCCTGCCATGGAGTCTCACCACTGCTGAATAAACAGAAAACATGGTCACAGGATCTCATCCAAATAGGGCTGCCTCGAATGGCTGTTTCTGGGCTCCAGATATTCAGTATTAATAATCAGAACATATTTGCAGACTACCTGCTCAACAAACAAATATTCATATACTAAGATATTCAGGTCCAGCCCTGCATCCAAAGTATTCAAATGAACCCAGGTGAATTTTTGGCCGTAGACAAAGATGCTGGTAAACTGAGCTGTGACGGGTAATACAGCTGGGCTAAACTCCTTCCAGTGGAGGAACCATGGGCTGAGTTTGTTACTCAGTATTTAACAATGCTTTAGTCATAGACTGCAGTTAAACAGTAATCACATTCCTTGCCAAAGTTAAACAAATGGGGCAAAGTGAGCTTGAAGCTAATTTTCACCTGCAGTCTCTTGGCAGGTCACAGTTAAAACATACACACAGTGACAGGACCCCACTAAACACACTGGAAAAATAGGAGATAGGACAAAGTAACACATTTCTAAAGGTTGATGTTAATTGAAATCTTAAATTCATTTGAAGTGTATTTTAAGTTGTTACTGTTATAACAAGGTAAAAATGTGAATACACTTGGAAATATTGGTAAAATGAATTAACTCAGTTTAATTTTGTGTTTTCTCAGGATAATTCAGCGAAGCATCAGGGCTGCAGTGGAGCAGAACTTCTACAATGTGACAGCCACCATTGAGCAAGACCTCGCCAACTATGACAGCCAGGGGTGAGAGTGCACGCTTAAACCTTCACACAGAAACACACAGTTCATGAGGAGATGGATATACTGTACGTGTTCCAGAGACGTACAGTACGCATTCAAAAAAATAAATAAATACACTTAAAAGTACAAACACGCATACTGTGTACACTAGATTTCCTACACACCTTTGGCAAAACTTTGTTGTTGCACCTGCTGAGAGCACAGATTCCTCAGTGGCTGAAAGTGGTATCACATGACTTTAAAGAAACATATGTGCCATAGTGAACATTGCATACAAAGGCACAAATCCAACCAGTTGGCTCAGGCTACCACTAAACATGTTGACAGCAGTGATTTTTAATTAGCAAACTGTACAAGTTGAGGGGAGCAGCTGTTCACTGGTCTGTCGCCTACAAGAACAAACAAGATGTCGGGAAGCTTGAGGGTTTCCCATATCGAGGAGACATGACACCATAAAGATCTGACTAAATAGGCAGCTCTGTGCTAGCCTAAATAGCAGCCACATACAGTATGTACAGTATTGCACTGTTAGGGTATTACCTTGCATATCCAATGTAGCTGCTTCCATTATTTTAACTTTTTAAATGTTGTTCTCCAGGGTAAGTCCCAGTGAGCCTGCAGGCCAGGGTTGCCATGGAGATGAGAAGCAGCAACAAGCAACCCGTGATGGCAGTCCCAGCGATCCAGAAGGGGAAACGCCGCTCACACTGACCGAGCAGCACGAACAACAAAGTCAGACAGACACACAGGTCTGTGGGTGACAGAAACACACACATACCTGTTCTAAAACACACTATACAATAACATTATCTTGTATCCTACAAGCCATCAAACACACACATCTGCAGAATCATCCTGTTTCTCACAGGTACAAAATGTTTACATGAATGTAAAGT